CGTGGTACATTCCCATACGTTTCGCTGGCATCGTCAGTGAGTCTCGCCATTCTTAGCACCATACAACTACGAATGGCGATGCCGGTATAACATTTGGGAATGTACCACGTGCACGGTTCAAGTTTGGAAATGATCATGCGGACAATGGACTCCGGACTAGTTGCATTCCTCTAAGTCTTCCAACCAATAGGACTAAGTTGCGAAAACAAGGTCAAAAAACTTCTATAAAACGAAATGAGACTACGACCACACAAAAGGCCACATCTTCTTGGTCTTCATACCTTCGATTAAACTATTTGAGTTACTCTATTTGGGATATAGCTCATGTGCGATCTATATTAAAAGCCTATAGGCACATTTTAATTTCTTAAGATGGATTAATATTACACATATTTGAACTGTTTTCAAGTCTTAAAAATATAATTGGTGCCTTTTTAATAGGAAGTCATTTTACAACTAAGTTTTCAACTTTCTGATTTCACCCTAATTGCATACCCCTGATTCTATGGCTGCTAAGCTGATGCAGACTAGTCTGTCTGCTATGTTCCGTCTTATTACTGGCTCTTATACACTGATTTACATATTTGCTATCTTTATATGCTCTTCTTTTTTGTCTTTCTCTCCTTGTCCCACCAATCTTCTATCCTACCGCCCACCCCGTCCTTTCTCCATACTTAATCTTCCTTCCCGCGCCCATTTTACTTCCATTTGTCCTCACAATCTGTGTCCACAATCTCTAGGAGAGTCGAAAGATCTCCGCCCTTCCCAACGGCGCACAAGCAGCCCTAGGCGTAGTTGCAGTTAGTACCGGTGCCGAATCTTCGACACAACCGCCTGGTCCTACTGACCTGGTCGTTGGACATCTCTCGGGCACTACTTTTTCATCATCGCCAGGTGTTACCATCACGCCACCACCGCCACAGTCTGCCCCAACCTCATCTGCTGGTGGAATCAGCTCGACCGCTGGGCCTGGTGTGGACACTCTTGATGCCTCAACCAGCCCTGGAGATGTGGGCAAGACAGTTCCGGCTGCATTAGGAACAACACTAAACGGGAAGGATGTGTCTTCTGGCTTCCTAACTGTAGGTAGTCGTCACGATTTGGATGTCGGGGGACATAAAGACGAGGAGCCTGGAGGGCATGGCAACGATCCATCCTTGATGAGAACTGGCAGGTGTGCTCATATCATTATACCTACGTCTGTCTATCTCCGCATGCATGTGCTTTTTTCGCTTACCATTTTTTGAATATATATATATATATATGAAAATACCATAGGCCCTCACAGTTTGCAACATTTATTTATATTTCGAGGTAACTATAATCCCAAACAGAAGTATCTGCTTTACTTTCGGTCACTATCGATAGCTAAATAATAATGGGTTATTCATAGCGTAAGTATTGCACTTCATGTCGGTTCGTTTGATCTTTAGGGGTTTTACTCTTTAGGGTTTTTTAGCCCCTCAATGTTTGCATCATATTAATGGTCTATTATTAGTAGAAATAGTTGTAATATCAGTATTAGTAGTATTCCTTTGAATACCTATACACAATAAAGTATTCAAGCACTAGTAAACTACTCAACTGAGCGGTACTTCCAATGGGTTTATGTAATAGGCATTTGCTAATTTCTAAATTATATCTTAAATCCTCGTCCATTGTTACGCAGAATGCTTTGTTAATACCAAC